CTCAATCACCTAAAGCAAACCAGGTGACCACATTATCCAGTCCCGCAGTGAAACGCAAACCCCTGCGTACGATTACAACTGATGGAACTTGAAATAGTTTTTTTTCTAACGCACTTCCAGATGCAATCATAAATAGATACGTATTTAGTTTTAAAGTTGAAGAATGTGTTTGTACCGAATCTCTCACTGTCAAAATTTAGGAAAGCAACTCCCTTCGTTCTCAGTATACTAAAAATACAAAGAGGTAACGGCACTAAAATCTCTAATCTAGTGGGATTTGATTTCAATGATTTTTTTCAAGTTACACTAGGTCAAAAAATATTAGGCACAAGTCTGAGAGTTCTTGCCAATACCCCTTAAAATCTAATAAAGTTTTGATAATTTATTAATATGGTGATTCCAGGAAAGGTATTTGATGATTCCACGATTTCTCCGGGAAAAATGAAAGCGAATAGATAGGCTATTATGGTAGAGTAAGAGGGTTTAAAAGATGCAAGAAACCAAATAGAATAGCTTTGGTCTTCTCAACGTTTAACCTCAAATCATTGTTTACTGTTCATACGTTGATACTGCCTATGTCAGTTTTTAGTTTGGACTCTCTCAAGCGTCTTGGTTGGACGAAATAAATGTTAAAGTTTGAAATAGTGAGCATATAAATGGTATTGTGAATGGAATAGGGAAGATTGCTTAAATAGATGGATAAAAGAGTAAGTAACAGCCAAGATTCCTGAGGAACGCCACAAGTTATTAGGGAGGAGGGAGAAAGATGGCATATAAACAAGAACCAGCACTAGAAAGAAGTACTGAAACATTTGAAAAAAAAAATCCTCCGTACGATAACCGGATCGATCTGAAATCAGAGTACGCATGGAGGAGAAGGAACAATGGCGAACTGCTTACAGAAACTGGTCGATCAATTTCCAACAATATGAAGGCAAGGAGGTTAAGATGGATGGGGAATGTAGTTCAGAGCAATCTGTCATGAAGACTACTCAACAACGATCACCTCGATAGCAGGCAAGAGACCAGATGGAATACCATAAACCAGATGGATTTATCGAATCAACAAAGATTTACTGTATGAAGATAATTGGAAAGAAATAGCCCATAATATGGGATGGAGAAAGCTGGTTAATGCGTCAAAAAAAGGATCTACAAGGTCTATAAAAAAATAGATAAAAAATAGGATAGCATATTAGATTTTCTTTTAAAAACATCTATTGAAGGGCTAAATAGTCTGATTTAGGCACTACTGAATTTGGAAGACAAGAAGCTTCACATTTACTCAAAATGTATTCAACAAAAACATACGATTTCTTCAAATTACAATAAAATCTGTTAAGATGATATTTTAACGTGCATTCTAAACGAAGTAATATTTGTTTTTACTATAATATTTTTATTATAAGAAGAGTACCTTGCAGGTAATTCATCGTGGAGAACCCTCCTTCTTCAACTTCATTAACTTGATTTATTTATGAAAGCCTATTACGTTCTTCCTTTTGAAGGCATCAGGAAACAAATTTCCGCCCATCTTTTCATTTCTTGAAAACCAAGAACATCAGTAACTTCCACCAGGATCGGTTGGTAAAAATGTTTGTTGTGCCTGATTGTTTAGATTAAAATGTAATAAAAAGAAAGACTAGAAAACTAATTTAAATTATTGTACTACATAGTAGTAATCTAAAAACTAATATCGCTTTACTGAAATTGATCGATTAAACGCATTATAGTCTTCTTGCAAAGGCAACAAGAAGCTAAATAAAATCAGTAATTAAGATGACATACATAATTAAGAATGACACTCTCCTAGTCCCCACAGATATGTTCTTAATATTATCTAATAAGGTGCATAAAAAAAGGACCGCTTTTTTAATATATTTGAACCAAATATTTGAATTATTATTTCTGTGATATAAAATAAATGAATACTCAAAGTATAATCCATTGTTATCTACCGTCATCTGCTAGCCAATTGCTCGATCCATTTTGGCTAGTTCTTTGGGACGGCTGTCAAAGAACTCTTGGACCGCAATTTCAACTCCCGCAAAATTATCAATTTATTTTTCTCTTGAAGAATGTGGGCCATGGATCTAAACAAGTAGTAATCCGATGGTGCGAGGTCTGGACTATAAGATGGATGAGGCAGGAGTTCAAGTTCGACAGTTTTTCAATAAATGTTCACAAATTTCTTACCTCTTGGCCGATTTCTAAGGAGTAATTTCGTGAGGGACCAGTGTAAAACTCTTTTTTTCACCTTCCCCATGGAGAATAGATGGCGACTAACAGTATCTTTCGACACTCCACACTCCCTGGCAAGTTCGCGAGTACTTGTCGAGAGATTTGACTCAACAGCTGCCTGCAGAACCTCATCACTATTCATTAATGGTCGCCTGGAGCTTTTCTTCCTTTCCAACGTCGTATCTTCACTGATCCACTGATAAAGTTTTCGAACCAATGTCGCGCAGTGCGCTGGTCAAGGACATCTTCCCCTTCATATTTAATAATTTCACGAGTTGCTCCAGTGGCTTTGATTTTTTTTTTTTTTTTTTTTTCATTAATGCCTTAACATTACGAGGATTTCATTGGACACTGTCACGTTTCTTCTTTGAAACAAATAACTAAACTGAGGCTTTTTTGAAGAAGTCGAATGGGATTAAACAAGCTTAGAGAATGCTCTAAAGGGATTATTAAGTATTAGTAAGTAGTAAACAGGATTCAAATATTTACAGTCCTTTGAAATCTTGAATTTGATAAAGCGGTCTTCTTTATTTTTTTTTTTATACACTTTATTAATAGTAGATTATTCATTCAAACGTCTTCGAGAAAGTATTGATAAATATTTAAACAGTTCACCGATGGCGAATACATATCGAAAGAAATTTAAAACGCAAGACAATCGGATATCATACACAAAGAAAAGGATAAGAAAATCATAATTTTTTAATAAACAACAAATTGATTTATATTTAATAATAAATATTCGGCTCAAAAATATTTAATTAAAAATACCTCGGTAATCTCCTTTTTTTATCTTTATTTGGCTAGCTAACTTTTCATCCCTCCATTTTACAAAAAAAAAAGGTTATGAGGAAGAACGTTGTGAAACATAACTGTTATATAAGGGTTCAGAATATACTGCTGTTATAAATAATCTCTTGGTTCGAAAAAATTAACCAGAATACAATTAATGGAAATAAAAAAACTTTTATTTCAGCACAAAACATTACATAGATTTTTAGAATTTACTGATTTTAATTAATGGAGCACACCAGTACTGTATTTGCACAAACTTTATTTAATCAAGTGTGTGTAAATACCAGAGCTCGGCTTTTTATACAATCACATATTTTGCTTGCATGAATTTTTTAAACTTTCATAAATTTTTATTTTGCATAGTTGACGATAAATGCATATAATTGCATAGTTTGATTATTTCCATTAGATTTTTAATAAAAATATAAATAAAAAATTAAAATGCAAAGTTGAAGTAGGGACTTCATATTACAATTTTAGATTCATTTCCAAATAAAAAAAAAAAAAGACGAAACTACTCTATAATTGATTTCTTAGAATATAGATTTTCAAATTTCCCTGCTTCCTATCTCTCCTTGTTCCCATTAATAAACATAACATTTAATTTCGTTCTGTTTCTTATTTTATTTACAAGTGGTAATATTTATTATTATTTTAAATACCAAAAGTAAGTGCGTCGCTTTCTTCAAAACTGGAATATATAGAATACCAAAGATGAACAGTTTTTAAAAACTGATGGAAAAGTCAGTTTCCACATCTATTGTTCAAAACAAGTTACTAGTGACAACAAGTCTTTAGGTATGATAGACAATCATCTTTAGGGATGATTGTTCCTATCGCGTCTGTTGATGAAGAATGATCAATTTTTTAATATGATTTTTTTTATAGCGGGGCTTATGGCAGTCAAGGTTTCGCAATAATCATAATAAAAACTTTGTTATTAGGCTGTTTGTTTAGGTGTCACACATCTAGACCGACCACCACCAATGCATTACAATTTTTTAAGTGTTTAATTTTCGTTTATGATGACGCGAGGAGATTGTGGAGTCGATTGAAATATTCAAAAAGAGTTGTCGTCTCTCATCTTCTTTAAACTCTGCTGAGTTTATTGCTGGCAAAATAACATTGGACATTGAGTCACCTACATCCGTGTAAAATTAGAACTTGATCTGAATATTGTGGTGGGCGGGGGGAAATTTATGGGAGTTTTTTCTCCCGATTTCCGGCTAATCCGTTTGGTTAATCCTAAAACTGTATACGGCAACATTTGTTAGGCTTGGGAAGTTGAAAAATGAATGTTTTTTGCCCGTGTTTTAAGCGACAACGCGTTACAGATTTTCGGTATTTCGTATTTTTCCCGTTGACTTGTGATAGTTTTTTCCATCAGTTGAATAGTACAACTTTTAAATGCGGCTCGCGGTAGATTAGGTTGGGATGAGAATCGAAGTAAATAACTGCCTAACCGGGATCTCTAAACAAATTACTCAAGAATACATAACTTTGGTTCTACTCAATATTTTGTTTTCATTTGAAGCCTATGTTTTAAGTCAAGCAAACCTAAATATAATGTCAAAATTTCAAAAGTCTATCATTAGCCATTGCTGAGCTTACCCCTGACAAAATTTCCTTGTACAATGAGGACATACAGAGAGGCAAAAAAAAAAAATTAAAAGTGGATTTGGTGTCTGTAATGTATGAAACGGAAAGGTGTCATGAAACAGGTTGATTCTATTTAATGTACAGACAAAACTTTATTTTATTTATATAGATTATGTAGTGTTTTACTGTTTAAATATCCTGTCCTCTAGTAATCATACACACACTTCCTGTATCTGATCATTACACCACCTATGCCACCAAATATACAATTTTCTTTTTTAATTAAGAGTTTTTTATTACATTTCTCAATATAAAAATATATTCTTCCTTTTAATTGATTATTAATTTAACTTTAATTATATTTTTTCAGGTTTTACTGGGATCTGTGCATGCTCCTCCTTCTTGTGGCGAACCTTATAATACTCCCTGTCGCAATATCGTTCTTCAACGATGATCTCAGCACACGTTGGATAGCATTTAATTGTCTTTCCGATACAATATTTCTTATAGATATTGTTGTCAACTTCAGAACAGGTATTGCTTGAAATAATTCTAGTATTAAAAATATCAAGAAATGTCGTAATTATACATACCAGATTAACTGCCAGTATAGAATATTTGTAGAAAAATTAGAGTATTTTTTCTGTATTTTATTTTTTTTTATCTTTGATTTATTTATTTTTACTTGAATATATAACAATTCGTAATTTTTCCTAAACTTAATGTTTTAATTTTTAGGTATCATGCAACAAGACAATGCAGAGCAAGTGATACTGGACCCTAAACTCATAGCAAAGAATTACTTGAAAACGTGGTTTTTCCTTGATTTAATAAGTTCCATCCCTCTAGATTACATTTTTTTAATTTTTAACCAAGTAAGTATCTATTATATATAATTCAATTATTTTGCTTATCATATTTTTAGTAATCAAATATTATATGTTTTGTATATATAACTATTGTAAGTGTCATAAAAATAATTAAACTGCTGTAAAATATGAAGACACTAAATGGTCCGCTATAGTGACTCATTTAAAAAAGAAAAAAAAATATTGTCCATAAAAATTCAACCAAAACTTGGATTATTGATTGAAAATGTATGAAATGGACACCAACAAATAGGATCTTAACATTGAATCCTCAAAAAGGGTCATTGTATATTATATATAAACATGATAGTCGACACTAACCATTCCACTATATCATAGAGGTTATTTACTATATGGAATATGAGGTTATTTACTTATTTTGCTTATCATATTTTTAGTAATCAAATATTATATGTTTTGTATATAACTATTGTAAGTGTCATAAAAATAATTAAACTGCTGTAAAATATGAAGACACTAAATGGTCCGCTATAGTGACTCATTTAAAAAAGAAAAAAAAAATATTGTCCATAAAAATTCAACCAAAACTTGGATTATTGATTGAAAATGTATGTAATGGACTTGAATGGAATTGAATCCTCAAAAAGGGTCATTGTATATTATATATAAACATGATAGTCGACACTAACCATTCCACTATATCATAGATGTTATTTACTATATGGGTGACTCCAAAATTTTGGTCACATTTATGTCACAGGGAAATAATTGCGTCAAATCAAATCTGAGAGTAGTTAAATAATCTTTCGTCGTTGTCTATCCTTTTGAAAGCATACTTACCATTCAATGTTCGTTAAAACTTTTTTTTTTTATTTATTGAGAAATACAATATTCTGTCTGAGAGGCAATAACAATAATGAGGTAAGACTACATTCATAATATATTGGTAAAATTAGTAATTATATGATCCAGTAAAAAATATGTGAAATGCTGATTTCGCACACCCCAGATTCTGTCAAAACCCGAAGGTACTGAAATAGTAAGCTGTGCATTGTGATCAATTTTTAAGAAAGGCTCTAAATTCTAAATCTAGGGCTATTGAAAAATGATATGATAGCTAATCGCGATATTCTCATTAAAAATAGTCTTTTTACTGATTAATGCATGGCACCTGAGTGACCCATTTTATGAATGTCACTTGTGTTGATGCTCACTCGCCAGAAAATATTTAAAAGTCACGAGAGGCGAAGATAAAAAGGAAACTGAGTTCTGCTTTAAGTTCATGTGCAACGCTACTTCAAGATCCTCTCCTCTTCTTTTTTCTGAACTAGGTCCCTTCAAACTTTAGTATAGAGAATAATTATTTTATTGAAACCCTTGGAGTATTCTTTTACAAGCTCACTTCTCAGTTAGTTTCCCGATAAAAGTTAGTCAATTTTAATCAAACTTTGTAGACTGAGTGAAGTTTGATAGTAATTTGTTTTACCGTTTTCTTTAATTAACTCTGTTCGCAAATCTCAGTAAGCTTTTGTTCCCATGAAAGGCTAAATCCTCACTTCCTGGATTCACATTCTCTAGAAAATCCGTACTTCTAGGGAATACGATTACTAACTGTCTGCTCGTTGCCAAGCAACGCCGTATAAACGTTTTGTTACTTAGCTATGTCGGCCAATTTATCATTCCAAATTAAGACAAATGTAACTAAACTATACAATACAATTATTTACCCGAAATTTGTACGGTTAAATCCTTATTATAAGAGAAAAAAACATTTTATTATTTTTTCAAAACGACGTATCTGCGATTGTTTTTTGTTTTTTTTCTCTTATGCCAGTCGTTGGTCATTTGGCTATCCGACATCTTGCTGCCCAGTATAATTTAGACTTTCTGATGTATATATTTGAAAATATTTTTTCTCTTGTGTCCCTCAAGGCAGGTCAATGCGTCTAGATGGTCTGCATCCATTGTTCCTTGATGACGCCATTTACAGGTAGGATCCTCAGCCACGCCTATCTTGTAGAGATGACTCTGCAGATAATCGTGACCAGTGGCCAGGCGGAAGCAGGGCAACTGCATCTCTTTTCGGCAACTCAGCTGGAATCGGATTATCCTTCAACCACTCATGACGTTTCCCTTCCACTTTGTCTAAATGTGCTTTTCTTATTTCTTCCTTCACTACCATCTTTACCATTCGCCGTATTGAGTCGTAGGTTTTCGGATGTATCAGCTGAGGCAAATCTGTTCCTCGCTTGGCAAGAATATCAGCCTCAACGTTTCCCGGAATCCCACAATGGCTGGAGATCCACTGTAGGACCACATTAGTGCCTCGGTGTGACAGGTTAGAGAGGAAGCATTTACATCTGCGGTTAAGTTGGTGGTTATGTATGTTTACTATTAATTAAATCATTTAGAAAAACAGTTTTGTAAAATCGCTAAGAAGTAGAAAATTAAGCTATTTATCAATCGTAAAATGGGCTACATTTGGGACTGGGTGGGTAACTTTGGGACAGCGGCTAAGATTTACTTTATGATGATTCCGTGGTGGGTATACTGTGTTGGTTCAGTCTGCAAAAACGTGCTTTGTGAAGGTATGTACTGCGCTAACACCTTGCGGCACACTACTCTTAAGGCACAAGCGGAAGTTTCATGATAACAAGAATTTTGAAAAAAAAGCAATTGAAATAAATAAAATCTAACTGCACAACGAGTTTAGTGAACTAAGGTTCTCAAACTGCCGCAAGATAGTAGAGCAGTACATGCCAACAAAAAACAAGTTTTTGCAGACTGAATCAACACAATGTATAAAATACGGAATCACCATAAACTAAATTTTTCCCGCTATCCCAAAGTTACCCCATCTTATGGTATTTCTTTTTCGAAAAAAAAATATGCTCAGATATGACTGAAATTATTAAATGATCCGTATATTAAAGTAACTAATCTTCTCTCCTACTTTGATTGACTCATCGAGACCAACACCGAGGTTTCCGATAACAACAAAAAAAATAACACTTTTATCATACAGTAATGCGCTGTGATAATGATATCTCAGAGACAGCTCACATGATTATATTAAATGAAACACAAACAAAGCTTATCGGACCATTTTCTTGATGACTTGTTTTGTAGAAAGAGGCTGACTTATATTACTTTAAAGTAAGTGGAAGCAGACCTGTTTTGAGTTGTGATTTGTTCTGAACATATTGTTAATAGTCCTATCTATTAAAAAAAAAAAAACATAAATAAAGTAAATTTTGATTGTTTAAATTTTTCTCTTTTAATATTTAGTTTTAAGATAGTGTTGTGTTTTTGCTGGTTTTTTTTTTCAAAATCTTGAATTAAATCTTGAATCTCAAATCAAAATCTTGAGTTCAATTATTCTTCTGGAACTTACAACTATATCTAAAATAGCAATTCAATTTAATCTAAATTTAGAAGGGTAATAAGAAAGTTTTTATAAAATAACAGAGCATTAAATTTTAAGCATTCTTCTAAAGTCACCCTTGAGATTTATTCAGATTAATGGTAAAACGTTAAACAGTCTGCCAAATACTTATCATCTTTACTATTATTATCATCGTTGGTCATATCATCTTCAAGAACGTTCCATTCCGCTTTGTTTGCGGCAATCATTTTCGTTTCTGGTCAAGTTTTGCCAGCCCGGCACAATTCATTTTGTACACATCTGCGCTATATCTCTCTTGGTCTTCCTTTTCTTCTTTTTTCTTGGAGATTTCCATTGCAGAACATATTTTTCTAAAGCAATAACTGGTTTCTTTAAAGTATATTCTATTCATTTTCATTCTTATTTCGAGGTGGATAGGAACTGTTCAGTGGTACTCCAGAGCTCTTCGTTAAAGATTCTCTCAGGCCACCGGATCCCCAAGATTCTTCGCAAGGAGCGGTTGATCAGGTCTGAAGGGGTCGGGTAACGGTTTTAGTCACCTTCCATGTTTCACCGGCGTAGAGCAGAACTGATTTCACGTTTGTGTTGAACAGACTTATTTTTGTTTTATTGGACGATTACTTGTTCTTCTATATTGAATACAGTTGAACTAACATTAGTTTTTCTTATTCGAGCTTTAACATCTTCCAGCATGCCTTTTTCTTTAGCAATCACGCTTCCTAAGTATATGAAAGATTCCACCCGCTCAATGGCATTTTTCCTCAGAACAAGCGGATTCTGATATCGCTCATTCACTCGCATTCCCTTTTTTTTTTATCGACATTGATAAGCATCCCAACTCATTTAAAGATTCGAAATAGTTATCATGAATAATCATTAAATACTTCTAGCTCTGGATATCGTTTATTTAAAATGAATTTTTTTTGGCAAAAAATATCTTAAAATTAAATCAGATGTGGAGAATGCTGATTCAGGCGGCTGAAGATCTACAAATTCTGTAAAGCTAACAGAAAAAAAAAACTAACTGTCAAAAAAATTATATGCACTTCGTCCACATTATTGAAACAACTAGGTTGAAGTGGTTTGAAGTCTACTGATGATGAAAGAGAGGCAATAAAAAAAAAAGAAAAAATATATATATATATATATATATATATATATATATATATATATATATATATATATATATACAGATATTTCGATATATCAGACCTAGATAGTTTTGAAGTTTGAAAAGAATAGTGATGTAAATAAGAAACAATAATATCGATACATATAGCGACTTGAAATTCAGATCGTCTCTAAAAAGAATCTAAATCATCATCCACAAAACCATAGTAAGGCCAGTGGTTTTGTATAGGTGTGAGATTTGGGCCCTAACCAAAAACTCAGAACGCAGGCTCAACTCCTGAGAGAGGAAAGTATTGAGAAGAATATGGGGCGGAATCTTCGAGAATGGAATTTGGAGAAGAAGAAAGAATGAGGAGCTGCGGGAACTTTATGGTGAACCTGATATTGTCGCATTTATAAAAAGAGCCAGAATCAGATGGTTAGGTCATGTGGAAAGAATGCCAGACCAAAGAATGCCAAAGAGGATGCTGCATCAGAAGCCGGATGGCAAAAGAAGTAGAGGGCGCAC